AAGGTCAGGCTGGATGGGGCTTGGAGCAACCTGGGCTAGTGGAAGGTGTCCCTGCCCATGGCAGGGGATGGAATGAGATGGACTTTAAGGTCCCTTCCAACCCAAACCACTCCATGATCCCATGATTCAAGCTCATGCAGCTCCTCCAGCTGTTCCAGCCTCCATCCTGACCCTGTGGAATGTCAGGCACAGCAGCCACGTGATGATCCCAGTGCTTCCTACAAACACATCACTGACTCCCTGCAGCATCCACAGGGATGTCTCCCTAAAGCTCTCAGTCTCCACTGCCAGCAGAATTTGACTCTGAAAACCACTCAGGCTGTTCAGGTTTTGTGCACTTGGAACTCAAATGTACAAATCCTGATGGAATCAGTCCCGTTCCCACAGCATGTGCTTCATGCTTGTAGCAGGGGGTGGCAGGTAACACATTAACCTGTAATAGCCCCAAAATGCAGAATATCAACTATGGGCAGCCTGAGATTTCACTCCTGTGCTGTGAAGAGACCCTAGGGCTGCAGATGTGCAGCAGAATTCATTCTAATCCAGTAATTGTGTGTGCTGGGACATGGAGCTGCAGCCTCTGCAGGTACTTACAGGTGACAATTCCTGGCTGGATGTCTGCAGGCTGGAATGAGGGAAAAATGGGTTTGTTACAGGGCAAAAGGATTAATTTCTAGATCTCTGCAAGTCAACTTCCAAATTTAAAAGTAAACTTCCAAGCAGCCTGCATCCATAGTTTTTTCCACTAGAAGTCTTTATTGCTTTCCTTGTGGCGTAAAGGAAAGAAACAGAGAGGAAGAGGCAGATGCCTCACCCAGTGCATGCTCCATGTTTACTTACATAAAAATGCAGGTTCCTGGGAAAACAGTTCCAGGGCAGCACCCAGCTGGGACATCCCAGAGACTGCACAGGCAAAAAATTAGGAAAATTCCTATCCTTCAGCTCCTAAGCCGACCCTACTTCTAAAAGGATCAGAAACCCAACTGGGTCTTTGCCTCCTCAAGTGTTCCAGCAAAACACTATATTTATTAGAAGCTTTAAGAGGTAAAACTACGATAGAGCAGGAAAGCACAGCTTAATCCCATCCTAAGTTTGGCTTGCCAGTCCTCAGGTTGTCCCAGTGCCAGGAAGAAATCCTTCCCTCAATTTAGGGTGCCACGGAAGTAGGGAACTCTATGAACAGACACAGGGGCTCCAGGACAAGCCACAGACATGACACAGCTTTTCTTCACCCCCATCAGCATCCAGAGAGCTGAAGACAAACTTACTGTCAGAAACCAAACTACCACAGAATGGTACATGAAACGTGTCTGGAAGGCACCTCAGGAGGTCTCAGGTCCAGCCTCCTGCCCTGAGCATCTGCATCCAAATCAGGTTGCTCAGGACCCCATGTATCCACAGCTGGAATAGTCAAGAGTTCCCTCCAGACCCCAAGTGTTCAGCCCTCACTCCCAGCTAAACACGTTTCCATGTGTCCATGCAGGATTTCTCATGTGCTGATACCAGCCCACTGCCTCCTCCTGAGAGAGCAGAGCCGGGCTCTGTCCTCTCACACCCTCATCACAGAGCTGTGGGTCTCCCCTCTCCTCCCCTGCTCCAAGCTGAGCACACCCACATCCCTTCTCCCCTCCAGCCTCACCCTGGGACCCCCAAACCAGACCCACGGCCCAGCCAGGGCACCCAGTGCTGAGCAGGGGGATGGGCCCTTCCCTCGACACGCTGCACCTCTGCTGAGCAGCCAAAGCCACCACTGACCTCTGGTGACTCCTGGTTACCTTGTTTTTCCCAAGGGCTCTTCTGCAAAGCTGCTTCGAGCCAGGAACCCCAGAGCAGGGCTGGTGTTTGCCTCTGCTGAACACCACAGGGCTCCCACTATCCTGTTACTCCAGCCTGTCATGGTCCCTCTGAAATCCAGACTTGTGACCTCTCTGCTCCACTTGGCACCACCCACAGCCCGGCTGGGAGGGCACTCACCCGTTAATAATGACATTATACAGCAAACACTGTGACTAATGGAGTGGAATCTCATCACATCTACCAAAAACCAATCAAGTCATAGGTACTCCTAATCAGTCCCTAAGAGGAAATGGCTACTGGGAGCACAAACACCACACCAGCTTCCAAAGGGAGTCCCACAGCTCATGGCAAGACAATGAAAGTCCAGTTCTGTGTGGGAGTTCATAGTGCTGTGCATGATCAGTACAAGTTACACAGTATTATGATGATTGTCACCTTTATACCATCACAAAACGACTTTTGGTTTGAGCACTCTCTTCCTTCTGCTCATAAAAATTCCATCCCAGGGAGCCCAAAGTAGCCTCTCCCCCACACAGACCAGAGACCCAACGGACAAGGAATGGCAAACACTGCTGGGATAAAATAAAGCCAGGGATTAGTCTCACCTCACCACACCCTATAAACCTGCAGTGCCTTTTGCTCTACAAGCTCTGCTGGGAAGCACCTCAGTGGTAACTTGGGAATGATAAACAGCGGATAAACAGCGTCCAGCATCAGGCACAGCAACCTGCAGGTTTGGAAACAGCAAAGCTGGGAGGTCTCACTCTTCCAAAAATACAGGATGGGGCTGCTGAACAGCAAAGCCCTGACACCAGGCACATGGCACCACCTGAGGGCTCCCAGCCAGAGCCTCCAGAAAGGACTTCAAACCAAAGGCTGAAACTTTGGAATCACAGAACGCCCTGAGTTGGGAAGAGACCCATCATCCAGTTCAACTGGATCATCCAGTCCAACTCCTGGCCCTGCACAGACACCCCAACAATCCCACCCTGGCCCTCAGAGCGTTGTCCAACCCCTCCTGCAGCTCTGGCAGCCTTGGGGCTGTGCCCACTCTCCTGGGGAGCCTGGTCAGTGCCCAACCAGCCTCTGGGGGAAGAACCTTTGCCTGAGATCCAACCTGAGCCTGCCCTGACACAACATCACTGACTCCTCACGAGCTGAGGGCATAGGTGACATCCCCACCTGCTGCATGGCAACTCCACATTTCTGTGACAAAAAGGTGTTTCTTTAATTCTGTGGTCTCCACTCCTGCACAGTCCTGGAAAGCAGAGGCATGTCCCAGTCACCCACGTCCACGCTGCAGCCAAATCCACCCAAACTCACCCCATCTTCCGCACTCGGACCGGTGTATTTTTCACACGCCTCCAAGAAGAGCCACCACTCCTGACAGTTGCAGAAGACCTGAAAAAAAAAGTTTGTGGAACCACCCCTGTGCATTTCACAGGAAAACAGAAACTTCAAAAATCATGAAGATTCCCAGAACTGGGGAATTAGTTGCCATGGATATTTGCTGCTGTGACAAATACTCTAATTCTGTGCTCGGGTGAGTGACAGGCACAAAGCACCAAGTCAGCTGGGAACACCGACACGGAATAGCTGCAAACACGGCGGCACTCGCTGCCCCATGGCACCGGGAGGAACCCTGAGGAAACAGAGCAATGGACCCAAACATGTCACCAGCACCAGGAGGCCAAGGGACCTCCTAAAGGAGCTTTGCTCCCATCCAGGTCACCACTGCCAGCCCCTGTGTCACATCTGTGGCTGTGGCATGGGAAGGAGTTTGCTGTTCTTTAGGAGCCCGCCCAGCCACAGCATTCAGGTGTCTGTGCCAACCAACCAGCCTGAACTGAGAGGATCTTACACACACCAGCAATACACAACCTGCAGGTCCCAGGGGCAGCATTCTCCCGCTCTGTTTCTTATAAGGTTCCCAGCAGAAACCTGCTCTACCTATTAATAACAGCTTAAGAATCACTGCTTTGGGTTAAAGCAGGAAAAGAGAAAGGCACAGACTCCTACCCCCCATATTTACCCCCACATGCACTGCAGAAGCTGCTTTAACCAGCCACGCGTGCCCAGACAGTGCTCTCATCCAAAAGATTTGGAGAATTAAGACTATTTTTAGGGAATGAAGGACCTCCCCCTGAGTCACCACAGGGACATACATCTATCCGGTCGTGATTCAAAACAGAAATAGCCTTGAAGAGTTAGATAAGATAAAAAAAACCCAGCAGAGTGAACAGAAACACAGTTTGGCCCGGCAGGGTGTGAAAGGAAGGGCAGCTGGATGCAGGGAAAACACAGGTGACAAGGGGTTGTGACACAGGGTTTGTGACACAATGGTGCTGACACGGCAGCAGCTCCACCACCACCCGTGTCAGCGCCGAGAGCTGCGGGACAACCTGTGAGCAGCTCCAAGCCCCAGCCATGTCACACCCCGAGCAGCACCGCCGGGGGACAGCAGGAGGCCAGGCCGGGTCACAGCACAAGCCAGGGACAAACCAGCACTGCCAGGAGCCCGGGGAGGTGAATCCCAAGTGGCTGGCACAGGACCGAGGAGGAGATTTGTTCTGATTTGTTCTGCTCTGGGCGCGGGGCTGTCAGTGCCACACAGTCCCACGCTTCCCATCTGCATGTTTAATTCCGCCGTTGATCCGTTGGCAGCCCGAGGGCTCAGCCTGGCCCTGTGAGTCAGCAATCACTGCCCAGCACCACGGCACAGCAGCTCTGTTCTCCTCCTCCAGCTCTGCCTGCCCAGCCCGCAGCCGGCACACACGGGAATATTATGCCATTAATTATTAAACGAGCTTTTTGAGCAAAACCAAACAAAGGCTGATGTAAAGTGTAGGAAAGATCCCTGCCAACGTGCTGTAGGAATGATTATGATAATTGAATGGCATAATAAGGGTCTGAAGGGATATTTAACACCTCCAGTTAGCTCAGGTTTGGAAGAACTATCCTATTTAGGGATAAATCTCCAGGATGCTGCCTGCTCTCCTGACAACTCACATTTCAGGGTGAGCTGTGGGCCATCAGCACTAGAGCTGAACAGACCTACAGGGAGAAGAGGGCTCTGATATCACTGATAACACTTCAGTTACCTAATATTACCAGGGTGGGTTACCCAGCTACAACAACTGATACACAAGCACAAACAATACAGAGAAGCTCAACAGTCTGACCCGCTGCAGCATCAAGGTAAGGAGTGTCCATGTCGTTCAGAGATGAGTTACAGAGCTTGCTGCACTGGTTGAAAACTCCTGTTTGGGAGGAAATCAAGCAGGATACAAGGGATATTACAGGGGAAAGCACAGCAGGTTCCTCACATTACTCCTGATAAGAAAGATCAGCTCCTTCCCCGGTGACTCACTGTGGGCACAGAGGATGACAGGCCGTGCAAGCACCAACTTAAACCTGTAACTGGAGCGAGTCAGGCTGGAGCTGAACACATATTTCCCTGGAAAAAGACAGGGAGAGGAGCTACAGCCAAGAGGCAGGTGATGGCAGTCACCCCTGGAGCCAAAGAGAGCTCCTGGAGCGCTCAGCAGCACCGCCAGCAGCACACAGACCGAGGGCTGGAGAGAGTTATCCAGGGCTGAGCACGGCCTTGGATGTCCTGAGGCACAGACAGCCCACTCCAACCTCTGCTCCTAAAGGTCAGCACAGTCCTGGATGTCCCAGAGCAGGGCCAGCCCACTCCAAAGGCAGAGCTGAAAAAGGCAGGGCTGAGGCAGCTCCAGCAGCCCGTGGGAGAGACACAGGGCTGGGCAGTGACCCCCTGCTCTTGACAGGGACAGCAGAGGGGCACCGACACCCACGTGTGCTCCAGCAATGGAAGCTGGGACAACTGAGACCAGAAATGGGTGCCAGGCACCTCACCCTGGTGACGACCTGAGCAGTTGAGCCCATGAACACACTTCACGCCTGCAAACTGCTCCAGGAGGGAAAACTGTAGTGTGAGCAACACGACTGACCTTGAGACAGCAACACAGGCTGCTGCTGTTCCACAAGAACAGCAGTGCTCTGCCCCTCTCAAAGTTTAGTTCTGCACAAGACAAGCCAGTTATTTCTGCTACGATTTCATCAAATGAAGCACTTGGGCCAGTACAGAGGTCACAGAAATCCAGAACGGTTTGGGCTGAAAGGAACTTTTAAAGCTCATCCCATCCCACCCCCTGCCATGGGCAGGGACACCTTCCACTAGCCCAGGTTGCTCCAAGCCCCTTCCAACCTTGCCATCCCTTCCAGGGATGGAACAAATCAATCAACTATACTTGATTTAAGATGACAGGGGTAGAAATAAAGCATCAACAGAGCTCACAGCTCTCATTGCAGTTTGCAGCCAGCAAACAGAACCAGGCAGCAGCTGTAAAACCCCTCACACAGCACCAGTAACCAGGCCATGATAGAAACATCCTTAAGGACAAGATCCATGTCTGACACTCTCCTGCAGCATCAGCAGTAGCTGCTGTTTGGAGTCAAGTGATGCCAACCCCCTCCACAGCACCATCCTGGGAGCAGAGCAATCCAGGCTGGAAGCAGCAGCCCAAAGAGCATCACTGCCCTCGCCCCACAGCACCCCCGGAATGCCACATGGACATGCCATGTCCCCACAGAGCTGTGCCAGCACCCTGTCCCCAGGGACACAGCACAGGGAGGAGCTGCCTCCAGCGTGGGCAAATAATGAACAAGGAGCAACAGCAAAGCACCATATGGATGCAGCAAGTGCCATGGGAAAACAAGATGACTGGGAACACCAATTATTAATCACTGTTTAAAAACAAGGAGCTCAAAGTCACCAGGAGCTCCAGGGCTCTCCTGGAAACCTGCATACTCCAGCACCCAAGGGTGACAAACACTCCAGGACTTGTCTGCAGAGGGAGGAGGTGTTACAAAAGTCATTCTAGGAGACTGTATTGCCTCATTTTATTATGTACAAGCTAAATATAAGGAAACATTTCTCCCCCAAGGTTGGTCCAACACTGGAAGAGGGCCGTGGAGAGGCTCTGCGATCCCGTACCTTGTTGATTTCAGGGGCTGGAGCAGCAGGAGGGGCTGAGGGAGCTGGGGGGGCTCAGCCTGGAGAAAAGGAGGCTCAGGGGGGACCTTCTGGCTCTGCAACCCCCTGACAGGAGGGGGGACCCAGGGGGGGGTCGGGCTCTGCTCCCAGGGAACAAGGGACAGGAGGAGAGGGAACGGCCTCCAGCTGTGCCAGGGGAGGGTCAGGTTGGGTGTTGGAAAATTTCTTAATAGAAAGGGTTGTCCAGCCCTGGCACAGCTGCCCAGGGCAGGGCTGGAATAACCTTCCCTGGAGGGATTTAAAAGCTGTGTGCATGTGCCACTTGAGGACACGGGTTAGTGGTGGCCTTGGTAGTGCTGGTTGGACTCGATGATCTCAGAGGGGTTTGCCAACCCAAATGACTCTGTGATTCTGTGACATCCAAACCTCAGCAGCTCAAGGTCCTGAGCAACCTCACTGGGAGGCCCTACATGGAACAGGCTCTGGATTAGAGTTTCCAAGGTCTCTTCTGGAAGCCCCCAGTTCCCTCCAGGTCTCTTCTATCAGCAGCAGTTTTCAAGCTGAACTCCTCACCTCAGCTTTCAGTGGAGTCTCAGCACGAGAAGCAAGAAAAACCCCTCTGGGTTGTGCTCAAGCCCTGTACAATGCCAGCCAAGAGTTAATTGCTGGATAAACAGAGCTGGTGAATGCTGCTCTGGGAAACAGCTTTTCCAGGGAAATGAGCTGCAGGATAAAACCCAGACAAGACAGCTGAACTGCCCCAGGCACCCAGCACTGCTCTAAGAGCAGAACCATGAGGGGAGTTAATGCTGCTCACTGGAGAAGCCTTTCACTCCACAACAATGACCACATCACACAGCACGACATGGTTTTCCCCTCTCCATTTGCCACTGCTTTTGTTGTTCCATCCTGTGCCCATAAAAAGCACAGCTAGGGGCTCTTCAGACACCCAACCCACAGGTAACCAGCTGCAGAGCAACCCACGGAGGAGCCAACACGAAACCTGAGCCCCTGAAAGGTGAGAAAGCTGCTGGGAGAACAGACACTCATCGCATCGATGATCACATGAGCCAATCCTTGATGAGTTAATACTCACCTGAAGATCCTCTCTAATCTCCTTGAAAACACTTATCTGTTCAAGGTGATTAGATTCTCCCATACAGAGCCGCTAATTATAGATAATGATAAATCTGAGTGGCAGAGGAGTTCAGAGAGGGAGTTTGGATTAGCAAGTCAAGCAGACGAGTTGTGCCATCCCCAAACTGCCCTCCCACACCAGCATCACTGCTGATTTCCAAATCAGCCAGAAACTCGGTCAAAAACCAACCTAAGAGGGGCCATCAACGCAATTAAAATGGTCCAACTATCTAGGAGCTTTCTAAATCCACACACCTCACTCCGGAGGAGGATTCTGCACAGGAAGTCTGCAAGAATTCCTCAGCTGTTATTTTCCACAGGTTTAGAGTACACACAAAGCAAAAGCAAAAGCACATGAAGCTTTGCTGGCAGCAAGACCTGATGTCTTCATTGATGTAGCAAAGATACAGGAGGCTTTAAGTACTCCAGTGGGGGAAAAGAGAAGCTTTAATTTGGCAAACTGTCCCTATGAAACCAATGGGGCAGCAAAGAGGCATCACACCTGGCTGCTGGAGCAAACCACACAGAGCAGCTCCCAAAGGATGGCACAGAGCCCACCCACACACAGGCATGACCAGATCCCCAGGGAACACCCAGGATTTCAAGAGCTCAGCTCTACAAACAAAAGTCCTACCAGGAATCACCAGGAATCACAGGACACGAGACAGGCTGGGCTTTAAAGCTAAAGAGCGAACGGCAGGAAATCCAAATGGAACAAAAAGCTCCAATCTGGAACAAAATCAATCCACACAAGGAGGCAGCTTCCCTAGTCTGGATGATTTTAGAGCATAAGCAAAGTGAAGTTTCTATGAGGCTACTCCTGAGCAGCTAGCAGCTAAATCAGGTGGGTTGTGCAGCCAAACTCCAGCCACCAAGGTGACAAAACAAGGAGAGTGCAGCAGTTCACCTGCAAGGGCACAAAAGGACACTTCTGGCATGGACCTGCCAAGCTGGGAAGGACACAAAGAGCCAGCAGAAAGCAAGACCTGTGGCTCACAGAATGCCAGAAACCTTTATAGAATATATATAAATATAGATATATCCTCTGTGTCAGTGAAACAGGCAGCAGTTCCTGTCCTGCCCGGGCTGTCTGCTCACAGGGAAGGTCAGTGAAAACACTGAAGCTGCCTCAGTCCTGCCAGTGACCTGGAAGTTATATCAGAACAAAACTGCCAGTTTTTACCCCAGACTGTCTCCCAGGAGCACTCTGAGATGGGCAATTCCAGCTGACACAGCCACTATTCCAGAGCACTGGGTTTGAAGAATTTCATGGAGGTTTTTCTCCATTTAAGAAAGATTTCACCACGTGTTCTGCACTGTATTTTTGTACTCCTGACTCACAACTAAATTAATTCAGTTGTCATCAAGCCCAGCAATGAAAAGAAGCACAAAACCCTCCAGCATCCCTGGAGCAGCTGCTGCAGGTCTGCCCTGCCTGAAAGCTCCACAAAGTTTCAACTCCTTCACATGCTGCTCAGAATAATTTCCTTGGGTGTTTCTGTTTGGTGTTTCAGCCTAAAACAGATCAAATTGTCTTAAAATAAACCTGATTGTTCCCATCTAAAATAATGCTGCTGAAGAAAACCACTTGTTTGCTCATGACAGACTTGGCATCAAAACAGAAAAATAATATTCTGACATGTTTATAAGTGGAGCATTAACTCCAACAGCCTTTTGGAGCCACACAGCTCTGGGGGGCGGATCTGGGGCAGAGTTAAAACATTCCAGAAAGGATTACAAGCAAATTAGCTGAATTACTGGGAGGTAACTTCATTTTTGTGGGGATGTTTTTGCTTGGCTTAAGTTCTTGAGGGGTTTCAAACAATTCCAAGTAGATAAACACATCACTGAACTTCTGCCCTGTTACCTGTCACGGTCTGACCCCAGGTTCCAAATGTTTCTTAGAGCTGGAGGAGTTTATAGTCACACCTGACAGGGAGCTGAAGCTCTGGGATCTGCTTCAGGCTACGTGTCAGCAGCTGGAGCAGAGAGGAAATCAGCTGATGAACTTTGTGTCGGGAGGAAAAACAGCTCTAGCATAGCCTTTACAGAGAATTCCTCTCTCAGAGGGTTTGGCACTTTAAAGACTTATTCTTTATAAAGCTCAACCATCTTCAATATCTGGGATTGCTTCTGTGTCCTGAAGTACAGCCAACATCTGTTCCACAATACTGAAGGTGACAGAGCATTTGTGTTCCAAGTGACAAGAATAAACACGATCCAAACCACAGAGTGGTTTGGGTTGGAAGGGACCTTAAACCTCACATCATTCCACCCCCTGCCACGGGCAGGGACACCTTCCTAAAGGATAAAAACACCAACATCCACGTTTGTGTTTTCAGCACTGAGCTGAGACACAAAGCACAAGAGAATCTCCAGGGATGACATCACTTTGGATCCCAGCTCACAGCCTCGGGGTGTCTGACACGCTCCTCGCTGAGCCCACAGCCCGTCTGACAGCACAGAGAGCCAGGCTGGAATCTCTGCCGAGTGCTGGAGCTTCCCTCCTTCCCCCAGGAAC